ATCAGTCAGGGTTTTCCAGGGAAACAGAACCAATAGCCTTGAGCTCTCTCTGCCACTTATTCATTACCTATCATCCGTCTATCTATCTATCATCTGTCTACCTATCCATCCATCTATCTATTATCTATCTATCATCCTATCTAGCCATCCATCTATCCATCTACAACTATCATCTCTCTATATACTGTGTATTTATCTTCAGATTTATATGTGATATAAAGATTATATATAAATTTCTATCTTAAGATTTAGTTTCTCTTAAGATAAAAATATACACACATATATGTACATATAAAGATTTCTCTTAAGGCGTTGGCTTGTGTGACTGGAGAGCTGGCCAGTCTGAAATCTGTAGGCCAGCAGGCCACCGGGCTGAAAGCTCAGGAGCGGTTGCTGTGGTTTCAGGGCAGAATTTCTACTCTGGGAAACCTCAGTTTTTGCTCTTAAGACAAGAGCTGCATGCTCTTGTCTGCATGCTCATGCACCTGGCTGCATGAGGCCCATTTACATCGACGCGGTGTGATTTATCCCTTTACTTAAAGCCAGTTGCTCGCAGGTGTTAACTCCATGTACGAAACACCTTCACAGCAACACCTAATAAGTGTTTAAGTGAACAAGTGGGTACTGCCGCCTAGTCTAGCTGACACAAAAAACTAATCTTCACCGCCTCTCACGGGGAGGGTTAGCAGAGTTCATTGCTGCCATCTGTAATCTACTACTTGCGGGCAAATGGTCTCTTTTTAGGACACTACACTTCCCAAGCGTCACTTCTCCTAGTCTCTCTTCTGTGGCTTGGGGTGTTGGTGGTGGTCAGGCTAGTTTCTGGGAGCATCCATCCCCCAATCATCAGGGAGGGAGAGAGAGGAGAAGGGAGAGGAGCAGGAGACTGGGGAAGGAAGAGGAAGGGAAGGAGGGGGAGGAGGGGGAGGAGAGGGGAGTGGAAAGAGATGGGGAGGTGCAGGAAGGGAGAGGAGGGAGAGAGTGGAGAAGGAGGAGGAGAAGGGACAGGTGTGGGAGGAGGGAGGGTGTCAGTGAGTACAGTGCCTACGAAAATACCTTTGGGGTTGTTCCTAGCTATTGCGTGCCCTCCGAATTTTTCTTGAGTTTTCCTCTAGGTTTGCTGCCTCCTCAACCAGTTCATTTGGTCTTTTGCTGCCTGGGCCAGGAATCTGGCAACTCTGCCAGCTGGTTTTACCCTCAACACGACTTTAGGAGCCTGTTTTGACTTCTTGATTCTGTAGAGTGAAACCCCAAAGCCACCTTTTGGGCTGAATGGTCCGATTTCCCCAACCAGGGCTGGGTCCTGCTACTCCCACTGCCCTGATTGCAGGGGCCCCACCAGCCCTGGTTATCTCAGCACATCTGAGGACAAAAGCAAGAATGAACGTAAGACAAACATGCATGCCCCGCCCTGTGCTAGGTCTTTATAGTCCTGGCCTGACTTCAGGGGGCGGTCCTTATTCACGGCTCACTCCTCCCCATCATTCAGGTTTCTGCTCAAAGTTACCTCTATAGGGCAGCCCTTCCTGACTGCCCCTCTGAATATTCCCCCTTGGTCACTTGCTAGCATGTCTTGCTCTGTTAATTTCCTTCATTACCATCATCTGACTTGGTCTTATTTCCTTTTGGCTTCTCCCATCAGACATGAGCACCACCATCGAGACACCTCATCTGTCTTGTTCATCCCAGGTCTTGGGTCCTAGCACCATGCCTAGGTACAGACAGGGTGCCCAAGTACAGTTTGTTTTTTGGAGAATGAACTACCTGGGAGGTATAAGTCCCTCTCTCCATTTTACTGAGGAGGACACGAAGCTCAGAGAGGGCAAGCGACCTGACCAAGGTCACACAGCCAGCGAGGAGCAGGGCTGGGATCTGAACTCTGTTGTGCTGAATCCAGAAGTGTTCCTTCCCAATGGCCAAGGAAAGGAAAAGAGGGACCCCGGACACCAGGCAGCCTGCATGCTTGCTCTAGGGAGACACCAGGCTGACTCCTGGGATGTGCGACACAAAAGAAAACCTGCTTATCTGTTTTGTGCACCAACTACGGGCTGCCCCCCTCCACCCCGTGCCAAGTCCTTTTAGTATTTTAATGATAAAAATGATAGCAGCTCAGCGAGGGAGAGAGAAACTGAGACAAGTAGCAAGTTAGAAGGGTAAAGACTCCCATTCTACTTCCTCCAATTCCACTTCAATGTGTGGATTCTTCTGGAGTTTTTTCAATGTGTATGCAAACATGTGCACACAAAGACCCCTAGGCATCCCCGTAAGTTGTATATGTAGATGAAACCATTATTTACATATAATTTAGAGTTGTACTTTCTCCTGTCCTCTCTGCCTGTGTCTGATAGGATGCTTACAGTCCTCTGTGAGGTTTGATTAAGCCCATTTTACAGACGTGAAGACTGAGGCTCAGAGGGGTGACGGGCTGTACCTGAGGCTGATGACTCACAGAGTGACTGCCACCTCTGATCTGACACATGCTTGTCCACTGCCTGGCTGTGAGTGGGGACAGAAGGACCCCTAGAGATGGATCAGCCTCTACCTGTCAGCATGTGGCTGGTTGCCTTCCCCCCAACACTGGCTGGGCGGCATTCCCTAAGCCAGGCTTGTGTGACTTGGCAGCTGGGACATTTCTTGTTGGATGAGAAATGGACGCTCCAGCCTCCTCTGACTCAGAGCAGAAAGTACCCCCTGGAAGCTTTCTGCCTCCCACACTGGGTCTCTTACTCCCTTTCTGCCTCCTGTCACCTGATCCAGGAAGTGAGGAGTCCCTGATGGGTGGATTCTGTCCTTCCATGGCCACAGAGGCTTTGGGTGTCTGCCGGCCCTCTACTGCCCATAACTGGCATGACACAACCTCTCCCACACGCTACTGGGGACTAGTTCCAGACCAGTCCAGATTCAAGGAGAAGGGAAATAAATTCCTCCCCTTGCCGGGGACAATGGCAAAAGAAAATTACAGCCACTACATTTGTGGGTCTGGGTTAGAGCCCGAGATTCTGCATTTCTTTTTCTTTCTTTTCTCCTCCTCCTCTCCCCCTTCTCCTCTTCTCCCTCCCCCTCCTCCCCCCTCCTCCTCTCCCTCTCTCCTCCTCCCCTTTCCCTCTCCTCCTTCTCCTCCTTCTTTTTCAAAGATTTTATTTATTTATTTGACAGAGAGAAACACAGCGAGAGAGGGAACACAAGCAGGGGGAGTGGGAGAGGGAGAAGAAGGCTTCTTGCTGAGCAGGGAGCCCGATGCAGAGCTCAATCCCAGCACCCCAGGATCACGACCTGAGTCGAAGGCAGACTATCAACAACTGAGCCACCCAGGTGCCCCTGCTTAAATTTATTCCTAAGTATGCTATTGTAAATGGGACTTTAAAAAAATGATTTAAATGATTTTTTAAAAATGATTTTATTTTTTAAAATGATTTATTTTTTAAATGATTTATTTATTTATTTATTTGTGTGCATGTGGACGCCAAGAATGAGAGAGAGAGAGGAGCAAGCAGGGAAAAGGGCAGAGGGAGAGGGAGAAAGAGACCTCTTGCTGAGCAGGGAGCTGGATGCGGGGCTCGATCCCAAGACTCTGGGATCACAACTCAAGCCATCCGGCAATCACAACCTGAACCACAGGCGTACACTTAATGACTGAGCCGAGATTCTGCATTTCTAAGATGCTGCTGGTAATGCCAGTGCTCATGGGCTGAGGACCCCATTTTGAGCGGTCAGTTCTTAGAGCTCAAGGCTACAAAAGCCCCTTTCTTCCCTGAATAGTTAATAAGTACCCACTAAGTGCCCAGCTTCACCTTTACCTGTGCTGTCCAGTGGAATGACTTGGCTGTACAGCTCCAGGGAGATAGAGCACCTCCCCGGACCGTTCTTTCCTCCTCTTTCTTCCTGTTCCTCCTCAGACCTCTCCAGCCGCAGAGCAGGAGGGATATCCAGGGCAGTGTACCTCAGCTTGCAGAGGGCTTCCAGCGGTCACTTGTGGCTGGATCAGGCGGGGCTGGAGTGCTTGTGTGGGTCCCAGAGGGGAAATGCAGTTCCCTGGCGTCCTGTCATTGCAGGAAAAATGTGGGTTCTAGTTCTCTTGCTCAGCAGGTCCACCCTTCAAACTCACCCTCACCTTGGAGCCTGACATGGGGAGACCTCATGAGGGGCTGACACCACTTCTCAGGGAAATTCAGGACAGGATCTGGATACGATGTGCCCCCTCTCAGGCCCTTATTTGGCATCCCATTTCCCAGATGGTAAGACTGAGCCCAAGGGAGCTGGCACAGCTCACAGTCACAGCCAGGACGGGGCAGAACTCCATGTAGAGGAAGCTCTGCTTCCTCTCTCTGGCCACACCGTCTCCTGGCCCCCTGGCCCCCTGCAGCCTTACTTCCTCACCCCCAGGTGTCCCCTTCTGACTGGGCCCCTGACCCCCTGAATCTGATGCAGGTAAGCCCCAGCCAGGCCGGTTCCTTTGTTCCTGCCCCAGCAGTCATGTCTCAGCCCAGGCCCTGGGCTGCTTGGAGGCAGGACTTGAACTCCTGCCAGGGTGTGCAGTCGGGGGGCCAGAGGTTTCCTGGTTCTGTGCTAAAAACGAGTGCAGGCCCCCCCCCTGCCTCACGCGGGGGGGGGGGGGGGGGGGAGCCCCAGATAGATTTTGGGCCTGATCCTGTTCCCCTGACGCCTAAACTCTCAAGTTCAAGTTTTTACCTGCTGCACCCCAGCTTTGAAAGGGCAGGGGTGGCTGTTAACTTGGAAGCCCAGAGTCCCTTTTGCCCATCCCCCAAGTCACCCCCCCCCCCCCCCCCCCACGTGGGACGGGCTGAGTTCTGAGGATCCAGCACCCCGCCATGTGACCCTGGACTGGTTTCTCGGTGTATCCCGCTGGCTCTGTCCTCCGGTCTTGGGTGGCTGCCAGATGGGGCGGTGGCAGACCGGCATGCTGCCATTGGCTGACCCAGCCAAGCCCAGCCTCCTCCAGTTCAGAGGTCAGGGGCCGGGGACAAAGACCTTCCTGGGGGGTGGGAGGGGGTGGAGCTTGTGTGGAATCTGTGCCTGTGGAAGAAGATGACCGGGTGGGGCAGGCCTGGCTGAGAGTGTTCTGGTGGCGAGGACGGGGGGTTAGGGCGGGGTACTGCCCCAGGCAGAAGTGACTCCGGGAATCTGGCTGGCTGGGGGATGGTTGTTTCCCTGTAAGCGGATCTCCTGACAACCTCCCGCTGATTGCGCTCGGGTGTTTTTTCTTCAGTCTCTCTCTCTTTTTCTTCTCTCTCCTTCACCCCAATCTCTCCCTCTTCCTCTGCCTCTAACTCTGGAATTCTCCTGATCCTCCTCCCCCTTTGCCCCCAACCCCAAATGTTTGCCCAGTCCGTAGTGCTCACTTTCTCCGCCGCTCCCTGCCCCTCCCATCCTGTCCCGGTCCCTGTCCCTCCCATCCTGGGCCCTCTCCCTCTGTTTATGAGCAGTCTGGGGAGCTCACCTTTCTACCCCATTCCTGGGTCTTAGGAACTCACCCTCTGTTTCCTCTGCTCCAGGATGTCACAGCTGAGCCTGTCCTGGCTGGGACTGGGGCAGCTGGCAGCCTCCCCGTGGCACCTCCTGCTGCTGGCTGGGGCCGCCTGGCTGCTGGCCCGCATCCTGACCTGGAGCCACAGCTTTTATGACAACTGCTGCCGCCTCCAGTGTTTCCCGCAGCCTCCGAGGCGCAGCTGGCTTTGGGGTCACCTGGGCCTGGTGAGTGTGGGTGGGAGACGGGTTTGGGGTATCAAGGTGGATGGACTTCCTGAGGGGTCTGGGATGGGGATCAAGGATTTGGCTGGGGCCTGGGACGGCAGCGAAGGGCTACATGAGCCGGGTCCCCTGGTGCCCCCCCCAGTCTCCCCAGGGCCACTCTCCAGGGTCCACTCCCTGCCTGGCCCATCTTTGTTGGCCTCAGGCCAGCAGGTGCTTCTGTCTCCACAGGCATCAACTATGACTTCTGCCCTTCCCTCCCCTCCCCCCATGGGGGCACAGCTGGGCTGGAGGATAGATGTGGGCTGTCTGTCCTTTTCCTCCCCTTCCTCCTTTTGTAATCTTGTCTTCCACCCCCAAGGAATATCAGTGGGCTCCATTGCTCAACCTGGATAAAAGTTGACCAGGAATCACTCTGGCCTGGACCTTAATGGCGAAACTTATTTCACTTAGTGCCCCCATTTGGCCAATCTTTCCCTGCTCCAGCTTGGTTCCCACGCCTGTCCCACAAGACGACCAGGACTTTGTCACCTCTCAGAAGCAGTCTGGCCTTGCGGACCACTGCATCAGCCCCGAACCTCCTTGTGCTCTGGGTTTTAGCATTCTAGCACACAGCCTTCCCCTGGGCTCTACTGGGCTCCTTCATCACCCTCCCTTTCCATGTGGGGAGCCCTCAGGGCTCTAATCCGCCTTCCTTCTTCTCTGGCTCCCAAGGCCATCACCTTACCCCAGGCTCTGGCTCCCAAGTGAATTACAAGTTCAAGTTCAGATCTCTGCATCCCCAGCCTCCCTTTCTCAGGTGGGGTCTCCTACGCATCTCATTCTACCAAGTCAGAGTCTGAACTCAGGGTCCCTTCCTGGTGCTGTCCCATCCTCAGTCTTGTCCATCCTTCTTTTGCCCACTTCTCACACTTTGGGAACCCTGGCCCCCCTCTTTTCTCTCCTTCAGCATTTTCTCTCCTTCAGCATGACCAGACGTGCTGCCTCCATAGACTCTCCTCAGTCTGTCCCTTCTCTGCAGCCTCCTGCCACTTCTCCCGCCACATCCACTGGCATCTTTCTCCAGGAAGCCCTCCCTCTGACAGCTTGCGCCCCTTATTGCCACTCTTGTCCCCTGTCACCCTTCCTCTCTTGAGCCCTGGAGAGATTTTTCTGAAATTTAGCTTTTGTTAATACCATTACTTGGCTGAAAACCATTCTTTGAGACTGCCCATTGTTCTCAACATAGAGACTAAATGTTGCCAGACCCACTGCATACCCCAGATACTCCAAGCTTCTGCTTTCTCTTCTCAACAAGCCAAACCCTTCCTACCTCAGGGCCTTTGCATATGCTGCTCCTTTGCCAGGAAGGGCTTCCCTTCCTGTAGCCACTGGGTCGATCCCTCCTTTTTGTCCAATCTTCAGCTCAAGTGTAACTTCTCCAAGCCTCCCTTGATTTCCCCCCACTAGAACTTGACCTCTGACTTGGTCCTGCTCAAGCTTAAGCAGTTAATTGTCCAATTATTAGTGTATTATATCTCTCTCTCACTGGACAGTAGCACTGGGGGATAGCCATGATATCTATAATGCCCAGCTTAGGAGCTGACATACAATTGGAACTTAATAAATGCTTGATGATGTCATGGTGGAGGCCATGTCCTAGGTTTGGGTGAACTTACTATCACCTCTCTTGGTCATCCAGTACCAAAGGGATGGGTGTCCAGCTTCTCCCTTCCCCTCCTGCAGACCAGCTTATTACAGAACAAGATGTCCCGAAATTGTGCTGAAGGTTGCCTAAAATTCTGGGTCTTGGAAATTTCTCAGCAAGCCCTGGAAGTAGCAGAAATGTTATAAAGTTACCACAGCTCCTATGTCCTCCTCTAAGGACTTTGCCATGGAAACTGCTCTGGGTCACTCTTCTCTCTGCTAGTCCTTCTTGCTGTGTGTGTGTGACCTCAGCTGAATCACCCTCCCTCTCTGGGCCAAAGTCATCAAGTGTCTCAGGGTCCTTGAGGATCAGGGGGCAGTCAAAAAGGTGAAAATGACTTATGTTCACCTGTCTGGAGCACCTGGGAGTATTTGTAAGGCCAGGATGAGGCATCCTGGAGGGATGGAGGACTGGAGAGGATGTCTTCCCAGGAGCTAACCCCCCACTTCTCCTTTTGGGGGATGTGGCCTTGGTTTCTTAATTTGTAAATGACATGACTGATGGGAGAGTCCATAGGTGCAGGGGAGATAGAAAGAGATAGATAGATAGACAGAAAGACAGGATACTCTGCGTACAGCCAGGCAGGAAGTAGGGGCTCATAGGTGGGAGCTGCCTTCCTGACTGATGAGCAGAGTTCACGTCTGTCTGCTGGGGCCTGCCAGGGCTGGAAGGTCTGCAGACCCTTCACCGTGTGGGAACTGGGGACTGTGTAGACTGGCCAGGACATGACAGGGTGTGGGAATGAGCCCCTGTACAAGTCCTGAGGTCACCATGCTGACCACAAACCTCCTCCATGGGGACATTGCTGAGGTTGGAACCACTCCCAGGAGAAGAAGAATCTAACTTCTCAAGCCAAGGTCAGCCTCTGTGCGCAGAAAGCATGTCTTCTCCCTGTGATCTGGGGTGCGCCCTTGGGACATGGAGAGGCCTCCAGGACCCTCCTGTACCCAGAGTGAAGGAGCAGGAGGAAAGCAGAGATTCCCTCCATCCATGCAGATTCTGGACACTCTGTCCACTGTAGAGGCTACAGGGGGACATGCTGTGGCTTCTTCTGGGGAACTGACGGCCCCTGTTTCCTTGTAGTCCCCCCCACCCCCCACCCCCCCACGGAGCAGGGCTTGAGGGTCATAAGTCAGCTGGTGGCCACCTACACCCAGGGACTTATGTTCTGCCTGGGCTTTCACCATTTTTTGCAATCCTGACATTGCCTGATCTGTCACCATGCCACAGGTACCCACCTGGAACACGTGGTAGTGGGACCTGTAGCAGCATCGGAGGGCTGCAAGCCCCTCCTTACCAAGCTTCTGGGCAGCCTCTGTAGATGCCAAGGCCCTTCCTGCTCTCAGGTGCCCTCGGTCATTTCTTTCTTTCTGCACACTGCTTCGGGATGCTTGGAGAGATTCAGCCCCAGGCTCTGTCCTGGAGGAACCCCAGTCTTGGGCACATAGAACTAGAGACATCCCCAATTCTGTGTGGTTAGAATGGGTCTGAGGGAGAGACAGGGGCTGCGGGAACCCAGGGGGAAGCAAGGCCTCTGCTGTGTGGGCAGGCTGGAAGATTTCTTGGAGGAGGAGTCACTGGAAGTGGGTCTGGAATGATGTGTAGGAATTTTTTTTTAAGAAAAAAGATAAAGTGTATACTGTGGAGAGGAACAGCCCACTCAAAGGCCTGGAGGGGATAGAGCTAGCACCTGGTTTTTGAGCAACAAGGAGTTCAGTTCAGTGAGAGCAATGCTGGTGAGACGCAGGAAAAGGTGGAGGGGACAGCAGAGGCAGCAGGGGCAGGGACTTTATTCTGAGGGCTCTGGGGAGCCATAGAGGGTGTGGAAGTGAGGAGGCACAGACTCAGGGAGTAGGAGAGATGGAGAGAGAAACATGGGTGAAGAAAGAGGGAGATACAAAGTGA